ATATGTCAGGTAACTTTTCAGCTTTGACATTTTCAAGACACATAATTTTAGGTATAACATCATTTGTTTTTTTTGAGTTAACATAGGACCAAAATGCCCTTACATCATTATGTATGTTCGATTCGACATTATTTAGGTAAGTTTTTTTACACTCGGAAATGGCTTCCTTACATTCACGTCTTAAGGAACTAAAAACGTTATAAACCTCGTCCTGCTTTGTGAGTTTGTACAGTTTATGAGCTTTTTTCTTTTCATTTATCAGAAGTCTAGTTCTGGAATTAAACCATTTGGGATACTTATTGGAACGCTCAACATGCATCGGGACGTACAAGTCAATCGCAGTAGATATTATGTCGTAAAATGCACTAACGCAGACATCTACACAGCTTATATCACACAGAAATAACCAATTAATATTATTAAGAAAGTTGTTAATATCTTCGTAAGAGGCCGCACTAAAATGACGATAATAGTTACAAGATTTGTCATTTGATTTCTGTGAGAAGTCAATATGCATAAATTCAATACTTAAGGCAGGATGGTAAATGTCACAATTTATAAGAGGATGACAGCTTGCAACCGACAAATCCATTTCATTACAAAAAACAAGATTTAGAATAGAACCCGTTGAATTAGGGTTTGTATTAAACTGATTTAAGCCACAAAAATTGTAACTGTCACAGACATATTGATCTAGAGCATTGTTACCGCAGATAGGAGAAATCCCGATTTCTGGGTCCAGATACCATGAGATATTTGGGAGATTAAAGTCTCCTACCACGCAGATAACCGAGTCTGAATATTCACTAGATACTAATTCGATAGTTGAGCAGTGTTCAGTGTAAATTTCGGGTGAAGAGTCAGGAGGAATGTAGACTGCACCTATCACAAAATTCACATTATTAATACTAACTTTGATCCAAATTTCCTCGCGGCAATTAGTGTTTACGTCCAGCTGAAAAGAACCGAATATCTTCAGTACAGCCACCAAAACTCCCCCGCCTCTAGTTTTGTTTGTAGATTTAGTGCATCTATCTCTTCTATAGATCGTATAACGATCGTCAATGAATTCCTTATTCGTAATACCCTCTATAAGCCAGGTTTCTGCAAGCACTATCACTGGATAATCTTCGCTAAGGATGCTGTCATAAAGACTATTTAATTTTGTACGAATACCCCTGACATTTTGATAATAAACTAAGAAGGATTCAAGATTTCCATCCTGGCCCCACTTTAGTTTCTTGAATCCTCTTCTGAGTTTTTTGGAAGCTTTTGAGTACTCGATAGTCTTCTGGTGTATTCGTTAAAAAATTTTCTAACTGCTACACCCTTAGGCCAGAAGTTCGGTTCAAGTAGGTCCTTAAAATAGAATGAGTCCATTGTAATCTTGAAGGAACTATACGTATCGGGATGTCGAGATTGAAGCTTGGCAACTTTAATGCCTGGTGATATATTTTCTTTCAATAAAGATAAAGATACTAAGTTGTTTTCAATGAAATTCGATATTTGTTCATCCGTTATTTTAGGGTTGATCCTAGTTAAGTGAATGGAAGATCGTTTTACCACCCTCGCAATGGCAATTGTTGTTACCACCCGGGTCAGTGCCATTTCCAATTATCAACGGTTTGCGTTTATTTGTTCGATCTTCTTTTGGCTTCTGATTGTTTATATTTATATCGTGGGTGTCAATGACACTATTACTACTTGGTGTTTTTTGCACATAGATGTTTTTCTTTATAGCTTTTTCTGGGGATAGCTTCTTATCAGGTTCTCTACTTATTTTATCATTTCTTATGTACGGTGTATCAGGTTTTGCATTTGAGTTGCCTTTTAATTGTACAATATGTTCATTTAATAATCTAACATGCTCACGCAACTCATTTATCGTTTAATCCTTTTGCTTCATAAGGTAGGTGAAAATGGAGAAGTCCATTTTCTTGTCAGGTCCAATAAGGTGATCAACAGCTTCAAAGAACGCTGTATCATCTTCTTCCATAGGCACTGGTCCGCAACAAAGGGCAGATGAATTATCCAAGAATTGAATATTTGTCACTAGTTTTGCACAACTTTGGTGGTATGCATTGCCACATTTTGCACATTTGATAGCGTTTACAACCTTTGATTTACATTTCTTGCACGACAAGGTAGATTCCGATGCGTTCGCACCGCCCGCCATTTTCCCGAATTTGAAAAAACAAAAAATTGTGTGTAAAAAAAAGGGGGAGCAAAGAACAAAAATAAAGTACAAAAACGGACAAAACGAATGCGAAAAAAGGAGATACAAATAACGATCACGAAAAATGAAAAAAAAGGGAAAATAAGCAATACACTAAAAAAAGGAATAAAAAAGGGACAAGTGCTAGAAATAAAAAAAGACGTCAAAAAAATAAAAAAATATGTGTTTAAAGAAAAGGGAGTCTAAGACGGTACAAAAAAAAAACACAAAAAACGAGACAAAAAAGCCAAAAAAATGTTACTAAAAATAACGACAAAGATGCAACAAAAAACAAAAGAAAAAACAAAGAGTTGATAAAAATAGCGACAAAGAAAAGTGTCAAAAACGGGACAAAAAAGTTAAAAAAGTGACTAAAAGACGATGAAAAGACCCCAAAAATGCAATAAAAAGAGTCTGGGTTAAATAGGGAGCAGAAAAAGCAAAAAAAAAAGACTACGAAAATGGAATAAACAAAGACGAAAAAAGATACTAAAAATAACGACAAAATAATTGCGAAAAAGAAGAAATCATAAAGCTAACGAAAATGAAAAGAGAAAAAAAGGAAGAAAACATCAACACACTGAGGGGACAATAAAAACGCAATCAAAAAGCGTCAGAGGTGACAAAAACAAAAAATATGACAAAAAAAAAATTATAAAAAGAAGGGATCAAAAAAACGCCAGAAAAATATAAAAACAGGACAAAAATGTTTACTGACGAAAAAAAATGAGTTGATAAAAATAGTAACAAAAACAGTACAAAAAAAAAAGTGCGATTAAAAAAAGGGAGTCAAATAAACATAAACAAAATTGCAAAAACGTAACAAAAAAAATTGGAGATCAAAATAATATCGTCAAAAAGAATCGACAAAAATGAAAAAAAAAACATGAGACGAAAAAATGTTGCTAAAAAAAATAGCAACAAAAATGCGCTAGAAAAACAATCGATAAAAATAGCGACAAAAACTGTCAAAAAAGAGGACAAAATAACGAGGAAAAAAAAAGACAAAAAGAAGGACAAAAAAGTAACACTCTGGGGACATTAAAAAATGCAACAAAAGAGCGACAGAGGTAACAAACAAAATTGAAAAAAGATGACAAAAAGGCGATAAATAAGACCAAAAATATAATAAAAAAAGGCGTCAAAAATAGGGATAAAAAAGAGGTAACGATAACGAAAACGAAAAAAGGAGATAACGGCAACACTCCGACGGACAATAAAAAAACGTAATAAAAACAGCGACAGAGGTGACAAAAAAGCAAAAAGATGAGAACATATATGCATTTAAAAAAAGGGAGCCAAAAAAAGTCAAGAAAGAACTAAAAATAGGACAAAAAAGTTTATTAAAAAAAAAGAAACAAAAAGTCGATCAAAATATAACTTAGAAAATATGAGGTGATTAAAATAGTGACAAAAACGGTAAAAAAACAAAAAATGTTGACAAAAAATACGAAAAAAAAAAGGTTTTCAATTAAAAAAAAAACAAAAAAGAGAAAAACGTGTAGCGAAAAAAGGCGAAAAAAAAAGATTCCAAATATGGCCACAAAAACCGCAAAAAAAAACGAAAGAAGTAAAAAACTGAGTCAAAAAATAACACAAAAACTACAAAAACGTGACAAAAAATATTATAAAAAATTAGCAACAAAAAAATAAAAAAAAAATAATAATAGCCAGAAAGAAAAGACCACAAAAATGCGACTAAAAACATATGATAAAAAGAGTAAAAAGAAGCAAAAAAGGGAGTCAAAAAAACGTCAAAAAAACTATAAAAAAAAAGATTACTAACAAAAGCAGCAACAAGAATACGAACAAAAAAGGATAGAGAAAAAGAGAGGTGATAGGAACAGGGACAAAAACGGGACAGTAACAAAAAAGGATGACAAAATAACTGCGATTAAAAAATTACTCAAAAAAGCGGCAAAGAAATTTACAAAAACGGGATAAAAAGGCTACTAAAAAATAGTGTCAAAAATGCGATAATAAACATAATAAACCACAAATATAAATCCATAATACATATTTTGAATATTTTCGGTAGGATTTATCTAGAAAAAAATTGAGATGACGTCAAGGAGTTCTTGGAGTAGATAAACAATAAATTTTCATTAACGAAAGTAAAATACGGAAATATCTCTTTCTCTTGTGTAACATATTCTTTTAACTTGTATTATATTTAATTATTTAGTACGTGAAAAATTTTAGAAAAACTTGCCAGTCATTGTACTATTTTAAATTTGAAAATTACTAAAAATAAAAATGAATGTCAAAATGTTTCTTCTATTTATATAAATAATATTTTATGCAACCAGGAAACTTATCCAACTTATCCAAAAATAAATTACGTCTGTCCAGACAGTTTATTTTTGTGACAAAAAACTTATATGGCTCGCGTCTTGCGAAATTGTCGATGTCACATCCTTTTCATATTTAAATCATTGCTATGTTAAACACCGAGAATAACGTAATTACTCAGGAATTCTCCCGTGCTGATAAAAACTTTAGACCTTGAACCACAGGAAGCCCGTTAAACCTAATCTGGAGCAGTTTAAAGGAAAATACGTCGGAATTTTTAGTCCCGATTTAGTTGGGATTACCCAAATAAGTTCTTCCTGTTTGCGATAATACTGATAATAAGTAAAAATCACGGCAAATTTTGATTTGTTGCACCCGGCTTCTAGAATAATATAATAATAATAATAATATATCAGATCTATTTTTAGAATTACGTTAAAATTAAAAGGTCAGCATCATCACAATAACGAATTAATTATAAGAAAGCACTTACCTTAGTAGATGAGTCTGATACAAGTACAGCTCATGAGCCATATTCTTGTCGACATTGCCTCGTGCTATAATATTTTCGTAAACTGTTTCCCTAAAAGATCGTTTATCTATTTCTTTAATAAACTGGTGCCGCTTTTCGCCCTTGCAGCACCTAATCAGTGCATTTATTACCAATATAGCGCCATACTGGAGCTCCGCAGCCCCCTTATTTTTAATAAAAACCATAAAATCGGAGATCGTAATCTGGTGGATCGTCTAAAAGCGAAAACTTATTTATTGACTCTAGCTTAAGTTCGGTCGTTACTTCTTCTTTCCATTTAGCAAAAGTGGGGTCTCGATGACACAAAATTTTGTGAATGACAGACAAAGCAAATTTTGTTAGTTCGTGGTTCTTGGCAGTTTTTGTTATCGCTATAATTTTGTCCAAAAATTTTTGGTTGATGTCCGTGATGTATAGTTTTTGGAATAAGTGTACTATTGCGATCAAACAAGCCGTGGCTTCTTTTTCTGATAAATCTCTGTTTGTGAAGACGTCCATCACGACGTGGTGTTTTTCAGTTTTTACTAGAATAAACGAGGACGTTGTTGATATTTTTTTTTGTGGTGTTTGGTTTAGTTACCGATTTCTTTGATAAATTCTGGGTCCACGCTCAGTTCGTACAAGTCTTGGAAGCTTTTTTCCTTGAAATCGTCATCTATGTGGTCAAAAATTCGGTTGGAGAGTAACCCCAACGAATATACCAGTTTCAAAAAGTAGCCGTCTTTGATCTCGCCGAAATTGTCGGCCGAAATGTAAGTGTGCAGAGTTTTCCCGTCGTTGGTACTCACGAGTTTCAATCCGTACATACTTGCTGGCTAAAATCACCTCGTCACCTATATCCGTCACAGTAAAAAAATACACACAAGCTGGAAAATCCGGCGAATATCGTCGATGTTCTCCTCCAGACTTTTCCCCGTGTCGATCTCGTGCAAAATTTTGTCGTTCGAAGCCACATTTTCCACCGAAACTTTCACCAAAGACATTTTAACACTTTTTAGCACGCGCGTCTACCACATGAGGGAAATAAAATGTCGTGCAATAACCTTATCTCGAGTGATAACAAGTTGGGTGTTGTTTAGTTTGATATTGATTATCTTGCAACAAAAAGTAAACGTGATGTAATGTTTATTTTCCTAAACCAAGAAAATACAAAACGAATTACTGTCTTCGAACGGGGTGGATGGGGTGGGTCATGTGGCTCAAGTCCGGCGGGTTCTTCTCAAAGTCGCTGATTTCCTTCATGCCGCCTTCCACGATGGACCACAAGTCCGGGTTTTCGGACTTGTAGGTGGCGTACCATTTGGCGACCAGAGGGTACGACGAGAAGTCGAAATTTATGGCTTGGAGGCACATGGTAGCGGTGACTAGTTGGAAGTCGGCGATGGTTACGTTATCTAAACAACTCAAATAATGTTTTTTTTGTTTTTTGAAAAATTGGTACTGGTGGTACCTGAAGCTGCGTATTTTTTTCCCAGTCGTTGCAAGTACGTGTTGAAGTTGTCCAAAGCGATGTGGACTTTTTTCAAAGATAGGGGGGTTCGAGCGTAGTCGAAAAAAATGGGGGCCATCTGGAACAAAAGGATCAAGTTTGGGTACTTTTGGGGGAAGTACGTACGACGTGCTCGGAAATGTAGCGGTAGTACGTGGAGAGGTTGAAGCAGAGTCTGTGGTTGACGACAGCTCGGGTTTTCAAGTCTTTGGGGTAGAGTTTATCGTCTTGACCATATTTGTCTGCCAAATATTGAAGAATGGCGTTGCTGGAACATAAAATTTGATACGTGTGAACCCAATGTTATTGTTTTTTGCGCACTTGTTGAATGCACACGCAAGGTCAGATGTAGGTCCCTGAATTAGCATACCTTTCTCCGAGAAAAAATCCGTCGTCATCTAGCACTGGAATTTCTTTTTGGGGGTTTTTCTACAACGGAAAAATTGTACTAGTGGCTTATATTAAGTGGTATTTACTTTCGCGTAGTCCTCGGTCATGTGTTCCCCTAATCCAAAGTCAACATTTATCAGTTTGTAGTCCACATTGAGGGCTTTGAGGCACTGTCGGACTGCCAGCGACGGGGGGCCGTCAGATACGGAATATAAAGTGAGCGGCATTGTGAGACTAAAACTAGATAAAAATAGAATGATTTGGGTTTTAATGTAGACTCTAATTATTGTAGAAAGCGAAATATGAAATTATTAATGATAATAATTATGTCTGGACTAGCCACAAAAAAATCTATTGAAGTCTTGATTTTGTTGGTAGCGGGGTAATTAATTTTCAAATTGAAGTGTTGTTTAAAATAACGTGAAAGTTTCTATGAATACTCACATATATGTATTATTGTGCGACGAATAAACACAAGAACGATTCGAGCAGAACTAGAAATGTTGTTGAAGACAAGATAGTATACAATGTGAAAGGAGTTCAAGGTCGTTACGGTACTTATTATGTGGGAAGGTTTATTTTGTGTAGTTATGTATAGGCAACCAGTTATACATCTGGAGCTCTACATTCCGCTTCGTGTTGTTGTTCCACTGGCATTTTTACTCTTCATCTTTTGACATCTGTCAAGCAAATTTTACCTCAAATTTGTAAAAGTATGACGTCATCAGTGATTGTTATAAATGAGACGGTATAATTTTGATCGGATTATTTGATAATTGTCGCCTGAGAACTGGTTTGATGTACAGACCAGAAGGCGTTCAAACCAATCTCGACTCTAAGCGTTCACAATTTCTGCGGGAACTATTTTTTTGTTTAACTACGAATTACTTCTTTAATTGCGTTTTATACTAGCAAAACGTCCTAAATTAGCAATACTAGTGGAATAGTAATCATGCAATAGATTTTTTTCGGAAAGTGCAAAAATCGGAAAGTCGAAACATTTTTTAAAGCGAAAAACCAAGATGGCAGGAAATCGAAACATAAAAAAAATCGTAAAACCGCAAAATTGAATACTCCAAAAATCGAAGAATAGAAAAATAGAAATATAGAGAACTGAAAATCGAAAAATCGAGAAATTGAAACTCCAAAATTTTAAAACTGAGAAATCACATAACTGAAAAATCGAAAAATCGAAAAACTGCAAAGTAAAATATCAAAAAAAACGAAAAATCAAAAAATCGAAACGACGCAAAATGCAAAAGCTGAGAAATCGAGAAATCGAAAAATCAAAGGATCGAGAAATAGAGGAGTCGAAAAGTCGGAGAGTCGAAAAATTAAGAAACCGAAGTAGGCCAAAATCGAAAAATGGAAAAGTTATAATGGAAAAATTGATAAATCGAGAAATAAAAATTCGGAAAAGAAGAAGAATTGAAAGCTCGAGAAAACGAAATATCCGTTGAAAAATTAAAATATCGAAAAGTAATTGAAACATCAAAAGTTAAAAACGAAAAACTGAAAATTCAAAATGTACAAAATCGAGAAATTAAAAAATCCAGATGTCAAGAACTCGAAAAGTCGAAGTCAAAATAATGAAATATTGAAAAATTCAAAAATATAAGAAATATTGAAGACTCGGAAAACTGAAAAATTCGAAAACTGGAAGAAATATCCAAATAAATTGAGAAAGTAAAAAATTGAAAAATTGAAATATGTACTTTAAAAATGAAAAATTGGAAAATCGAAAATTTAAAAATTCGGAAAATTGAAAAATTGAAATATAGAACTGAAAAGTTGAGAAATAAAAATATCTAGTTTTATAAAAATTGAAATATTAAAGAATCGAAAAGTTGAAAAATTGAGAAATTGAATAATAAGAAAGTCGAAATGCCCGAATCGCCATAAATCGAGACATCCAAAATTTGAAAATCAAACATTTAAAAATTCGGAAAAGGAGAAGAATTCGAGAAAACGAAAAATCCAGAATTTTAAAAGTTGAAAAAATAAAATATCGAAAAGTTGAAAAATTAAGAAATCTAAGTATAAAACAGTCGAAAAATTGAAAAATCTAAAGTTAAACACGAAAAATTGAGAATTCAAAATGTACAAAATCGAGAAATCAGAAAATCCAGAAGTCAAGCAATCGAAAAGTCGAAGAATCAAAATACTGAAATATCTCAAAATTGAAATTTCGAAAAATTCAAAAATATAAGAAAATTTGAAGAATCAAAAAATTAAAAAATTCCAAAATTGGAAGGAATATCCAAAAATTCAGAAAGTAAAAAGTTGAAAAATTGCAATATGTATTTTAAAAATGAAAAATTGGAAAATCGAAAATTTAAAAATTCGGAAAATTGAAAAATAGAAACATAGAAGAACTGAAAAGTCGAGAAATCAAAAAATCTAGATTTATCAAAGTTGAAAAATTAGTCGAAAAACTGTAAAATCTAAGATCTAAAAATCGAAAAACTAAAAATCCAAAAAGTAAAAAATCCAGAAGTCGAAAAGTCGAAAAATCCAAGAATCGAAATACTGATAAACTGAAGAACCAAAAAATTCAAAAATCTCAGAATTGAAAGAATTCCAAAAATTGAGAAATTAAAAGTGTGAAAAATTTGGAAATCGAAAAAGCAAAAAAAGCAATTTCGAAAAATCGAAAACTTCAAAAACTGAAGAACTGAAAAGTCGAAAAATTGAAGAACTGAAAGTTTACAAACGTCAAAATTGAGAAAAATTGAGCAATAAAAATATTTCAAAATCGTAAAAGTGAAGAGGAGAAATATTGAGAAACCGTAAAACTGAAACATTGAGAAATCGAAAAATAAAAAAAAATCAAGAAATCGAAAATTGAGCAATGAAAAAACTGAAAAAGCCCAAAATTGAAAAATCGCATAACTGAAAAATCGAAAAGCCGAAAAGTAAAAAATCAAAAAACCGAGAAATCGAAAAATCGAAACGTCGAAAAATTCAAAAACTGAGAAATCGAGAAATAGAGGAGTCGAAAAGTCGAAAAATTAAGAAACCGAAATAGGCCAAAATCGAAAAATTAAAAAATTGATAAATCGAGAAATTGAACAATACAAGAAGAAGAAGAATTGAAAGCTCGAGAAAACGAAAAATCCAAAATTTTAAAAGTTGAAAAATTAAAATATCGAAAAGTGGAAAAATTGAGAAATCTAAGTATAAAACAGTCGAAAAATTGGAAAATCTTAAGTTAAAAACGAAAAATTGAAAATTCAAAATGTACAAAATCGAGGAATCAAAAAATTCAAAAGTCGAAGTCAAAATACTGAAATATCTCAAAACTGAAATATCGAAAAATTCAAAAATTTAAGAAAAATTGAACGATTGAAAAATTGAAAAATTCCAGAACTGGAAGAAGTATCCAAAAATTGAGAAAGTAAAAAATCGAAAAATTGAACTATTTTAAAAATGATAAATTCGAAAATTGAAAATTTGAAAATTCGGAAAATTGAAAAATTGAAATATAGAGGAACTGAAAAGTCGAGAAATAAAAAAATCTATATTTATAAAAATTGAAAAATTAAAGTATCGAAAAGTTGAAAAATTGAGAAATCTAAGAAAACAGTCGAAAAATTGAAAAATCTAAAGTTAAAACGAAAAACTGAAAATTCAAAAGATACAAAATCGAGGAATCAAAAAATCCAGAAGTCAAGAAATCGAAAAGTCGAAGAATCAAAACACTGAAATATCGAAAAATTAAAAAATATAAGAAAAATTGAAAAATCGAAAAATTGAAAAATTCCAAAACTGGAAGAAATATCCAAAAATTGAGAAAGTAACAAATGGAAAAATTGAAATGTTTTAAAAATGAAAAATTTAAAAATTCGGAAAATTGAAAAATTGAAAAGTCGAAAAATCAAAAAATCTAGATTTATAAAAATTGAAAAATTAAAGTATCGAAAAGCTGAAAAATTGAAAAATCGAAATATTAAACAGAAAATCCAAAAATTAATAAAACCAGAAGTCGAAAAATCTAAAAATCCAAGAACCGAAATACTGAAAAACTGAAGAATTGAAAAATTCAAAAATCCCAGAATTGAAAGAATTCCAAAAATTGAGAAATTAAAAATGTGAAAAATTTGGAAATCAAAAAAGCAAAAAAGCAATTTCGAAAAAGTGAAAACTTCAAAAACTGAAGAACTGAAAAGTCGAAAAATTGAAGAATTGAAAGTATAGAAACGTCAAAATTGAGAAAAATTGAACAATAAAAATATGTCAAAATAGTAAAAGTGAAGAGAAGAAATATTGAGAAACCGTAAAACTAAAACATCGGCAAACTGAGAAATCGAAGATAAAAAAAAATCAAGAAATCAAAAATTTGAGGAATGAAAAAACTGAAAAAGCCCAAACTTGAAATATTGAAAACTTGAAAAATCGAGAAATCGAAACTCCAAAATTTTAAAACTGAAAAATCGCATAACTGAAAATTCGAAAAATCGAAAACCCGAAAATTTCAAAAACTGAGCAATCGAGAAATCGAATTCCAAAAATTGAGAAATTAAAAATGTGAAAAATTTGGAAATCAAAAAAGCAAAAAAGCAATTTCGAAAAATCGAAAACTTCAAAAACTGAAAAACTGAAAAGTCGAAAAATTGAGGAATTGAAAATTTAGAAACGTCAAAATTGTGAAAAATTGAAGAATCAAAATATTTCAAAGTCGTAAAATTGAACCAGAGAAAAATTGAGAAATCGAAAAATAAAAAAAATCGAGAAATCGAAAATTTGGGGAAAGAAAAAACTGAAAAAGTCCTAAATTGAAATATTGAAAAATTGAGAAATTGAGAAATCGAAATATTAAACAGTCGAAAAACTGAAAAATCTAAAATTTAAAAAACGAAAAACAAAAATCCAGAAGTCGAAAAATCGAAATACTGAAAAACTGAAGAATCGAAATATTAAAAGATCCCAGAATTGAAAGAAATCCAAAAATTGAGAAATTAAAAATGTGAAAAATTTAGAAATCGAAAAAGCAAAAAGCCAATTTAGAAAAATCGAAAACTTCAAAAATTGAAGATCTGAAAAATAGAAAAATTGAATAAATTTTTGAAATTTCTGGAAGTTCCAGGTTTTCTAAATGTTATATTTGTAAAAATAGCAGTCTTCGGATATGCCAAAATTCAACATTTTCCGCAGTTTTTAAGATGTCTAGGACTTTCAGATTTTTCACACTTTCTAGATATTTCCAGATTTTCTAAAACCAATATTTAAATCTTTAAAATGTTTGGAATCTCTGGAATTTTTAGAATCTCTGAGATATATAAGATAATAATGAGGGTGTTCGAGACCCCTAATACTTGTAGGATTTATAAAAATTAAAGAAAACATTCTGCAGATTTTTACAATTTTTAGATTTTTAGGATTTTTGTTTTGTTCAGACTCTTTGAAATCTTTAGAATTTTTGTTTTGTTAAGAGTTCGTGCGTTTTTTACAAATTATAGTATCTTGGAAATATCTGGAACAGAATTTTAACAACCTTTTTGAGTCCTTAGAGTATTTAGAATCTTTAGAGTTTTCAGAGTCCTTAACAATCTTT